AGAATATCAGAGACTTAATTCTGCAGACGAAACATTGTCATTTCAGTTGGAGTAAGCATGATCTGGAAACAGATTAAAGTTTGTTAAACTTTGAAAATGCTAATTATTTAATTTGCCATATTGACCACTATACACTGCCAGTCAAAAAGTTTGGTAGATTTGTTCATGTTTTTGAAAGAAGTCTCTTCATTCGTACCAAGGCTGCATTTATTTGATCAATAATACAGTAAAAACAGTACCATTGTGAAAGATTATTACAACAATTTGATTTTTTTTTTTTCTAATTTGATATTTAAAATGTGATTTATTCCTGTGATCAAAGCTGCATTTTCAGCGTCATTACTCCAGTCTTCAGTGTCACATGATCCTTCAGAAATCATTCGAATATGCCTATTATTATTATGTTGAAAACAGATTTTGCTGTTTAATATTTTTGTGGAAACAGTGTTGCATTATTAACAGCATTCTTTTATAAATAGAAAATTCAAAAGAACAGCACTTATATAAATCTTTTGTATATAAAACATGCAGTAAATGTCTTCACTCCCACTTTTGATCAATTTAATCCATCCTTCCTTCCTGAATAAAAGTCTATATTTTTATATATAAATCTATTTACTTAGACTTTTGAATGGTAGTGTACCATGGTTTCCAAAAGAAATTGTTTTCAACATTGATAATAATAATAAATGTTTCTTGAGCAGTAAATCATCATATAATAATGATTTCTGAAGGATCATGTGACACTGAAGACTGGAGTAATGATGCTGAAAGTTCAGCTTTGCATCACAGGAATAAATTACATTTTAAACATGATTTAAAAAAAAAAATTATTATAATAATATTTCACATTATTACTGTTTTTACTGCATTTTCAATCAAATAAATGCAGCCTTGGTGAGCATAAGAGACTTCTTTCAAAAGCTTTTGGCAGGTAGTGTAAAGCTGCTTAGTTTGGAAATGAGTATGCAGGGCTTCATGAATCATTACACCATTAATAATGGACAATGCACTTATTTGCCTGCAAAGCTAATTTGACCGTGCCTTTAGTGAAAGTATTTTGAGTTGAGCTAGTAAGCTACCTAGCAATGCTAATCTACAACCTCGTAGAAATCGCACTACAAATTACGCAAACCACCTTAGCAACCACAATGACGTTAAAAATTAATCCAAAACCTTAACAAAAGCATTGCGAAACACAAAAATATACTCAAAACACTTCGTAACTGCACCACAACATGCTAAACGGCTCAGAGTACGTTTACACGACAACGATGCACTAAAACCTGAAATGTTTTTCCTTTGCGTTTTCGTGTACAACTGACATCGTCCGTGAAAACAACTAAAAACGCTGTATCATTCATGCCAGGCCAGTAGTTGGCGATGTCACTTTGTAAAGAAACACTACAGACTGAACACGTATTTTTATACAGTAGTGTTTTTAAAAAACGTGCACTTTGAAACCTGTTTTCAAAAGCTTGCGTTTTCAGGCCTTCAAACCGCAGCAAACGAATGGCCAAAACGCATACGAAGTTTTCCATTTTTAGTTAAAAAACGGTGTAAACGCAACCACTCAGAAGACCATTTCTACAACACATCTGCGCACTAAAACGCACTGTGAACACGGTAGCAACTGCACAGTGGCACGTTGCCTTGTGTTAAAAAACCACTCAAAACACTTTAGCAACCAGCCAACCACATAGCAACACGTTAAAAAAAACACTCAGAACACCTTAGCAACAAAAAACAATGTGCTAAAAACCCACTCAGATCAACACCTTGCACTGTGGAGGCAGTTCTCTCTCAAGCAGCACTCACATTCTCTTCGGAAAATGCAGAAATCAAGTATAAATCTACAAAGAAAAAATTAAACGGTTATCGTCATTCATTTTGAATCACTACAATGATTTTGAGTTTGTCAGATGTCTTAATAATCACCGTCTCAAAGAGTTTTTTCTCAGTTTTAGACAACACCACTGGCTGATGAGGAAAACAATGCAGCTTGTGATGTGCCGGTAGGTGACAGTGAGAGAGTGGTTTCAGTGATGGTGCAGGGCTGTGCTGGAACAAGCAGCTCTCATTGTTAGCTGACAGATATACAGTCTCTGTCTGTGCCACTGATCTGTGGACCGCGCTATTTTCTACATCCGTTTTCATTACTGACCCTGTTCACCTTAGACTTCACGATGTTTGAAAAGCTCTAATTAAAGGGTATTTTATTAAGAAAAGCATTTATCTGAAATAGAATCTTTTGTAACATTATAAATGCCTTTACCGTTTTTTTTAGTGCATCCTTGCTGAATGAAATAATTCATTTCTTTAATATCTATCCAAAAAAAAAAACAAAAAAAAAAATCTTACTGAACCCAAACTTTTGAACGGTAACTGTTACAAAAGCTTTTTATTTCACATGCTGTTCTTTGGAACTTTCTGTTCATCGGAGAATCCTGATTTTTTTTCCAACATTCATGATAATAACAAAATAATGTTACTTGAGCATCAAATCATCATATAAGAATGATTTCTGATGGATCATGTGACACTGAAGACTGGAGTAATGATGCTGAAAATTCAGCTTTGATCACAGGAATAAATTACATGTTAATATAATATATTCAAATAGAAAAGTTCTGAAAACAATTTTAAATTGTAATAATTCCTCACAATATTAGTTTTTTTTTTGTATATTTAGTCATATAAATGCAGCCTTGCTGAAGAGACTTTTTAAAATCATTAAAAAAATATCTTTTTACAAAAAAAGTGTGTAAATATTGTGATGTATTTCCTCATTTACAGTATTTGTTTTGGTGGCTTATGCAAGGAATATTTCACAATGTGTCGCCACCTGGATAAAAAAAAAAAAGTTATATAAACTTCTGATATAAATTTGTTACTGAGATTATTCTTGCAATTCGATTTAAACCATCTAATCTCTACTCACCAAAGCCATTTATTTTAGTGTTTAGTAACATCTGAATAATAATAATAAAAAGTTGTATAGTCCATATTCTCCATCTTTTTCCATGAACCTTTTCATTTAGTTTCTTTACTGTTACACGTTTAGTTGAAACTTGTGTCAAATCATAGTTTTTATGATGACCAAGTGAGCTGTGGTGAGTGGAAAAACATCCCTCTGAGGAAAAGTGAATTTCCATTTTATTTTCCCACGCCCTACAAACATCCAGAGGCTAAACATGCCACTAGTACACATGCTCAGTCCTGGGACTCGAGCCTCTCCTGACCAAACATTTCTAAACTAACCATAGTAAGGCGCTTTTATTTCTAAAACACGTTTAACACAGCCACTGCAGACCAAAGTGCTGTAAAATCAAACAAAATTAGACAATAAAATACATTAAACTGACAAGATAATACACAAAGTAATATAACTGTTAAAAACGCCTGTGAAAATCAAGTTTTTAATGCTGTTTATATGTCTATGTGATGTTTTTAATGTGCTTTAAGACAATTCACGTGCAAATTCATGTCAACACCATTACTGAGTATTTTCTCCTTAAAACTGAAGTGGACAAACCTGTGTTTGTATGGGTAAACAAACAGTTAAAGGCACAGACAAAGGGATATAGTATAGGACAAAATACTATGGAAGTCAATGGGGACCAGCAATTGTTTGGTCACCAACATTCATCAAAATATCTTATTTTGTGTTCAACCGAAGAAAGAAATTCATCCAGGTTTTTAGAACAACTGAGGGTGAGTAAAAGATGACAGAATTTACATTTCTGGGTGAACTATCACTTTAAGTACAGTAACAAAGTAAATGGTATTTTATTACTGTCCACCACTGAATAATATGAGAACATTTTTAAAATGCAGCTGAGCATAACATTATAACTGGCTTATAAAGTCAGATTACTGTGTCCTGTGTACATTATATACGTCTTTCAGATGTGAGGAATCAGACAAACGGTACACTGACACACACACACTTGGTAGCATGAACACATTAAATGTATTGTTTTGAGGGTTAATCCAGTCAAGGCCATACAGTACAGTCATATGATTTATATGAGATACTGTAGTGGAGTGTAGTCAAGACTCATCTACATGATTTGTATCTGTCCACATACAGCAACATAATAAAAAGTAGAAAACAGTGTCAGAAATCATAGGCATTCATGCATTAATAATCATTAATCTTGTTCAAATTATGATAGCTGCTGAAATTTACCTCTGCATTATGTCATAATTGTTATCAGCATTAAACTGATTCATTGTCCAAATTGAACTCTCTCACTCTCTCTCTCTCCTTTTTTTCTTACAGGCAATACATCTCATTGTTATCAGATCTTCAAAAGCCATGGCCAGTTGTGCAGCCCACCAATAACACTAGAGAATCCAGCAGTAAGAACGCCTTCTAGTAAATAAAAATGCAGCAATGACCTCCAGCGATAAAACTGCTGTTTGTGTGATCATGGGATTACAAGACATAAACAAAAAATATATATATATTTAAAAATAATTTTTTATTGTAGGTTCTTTGAAGAACTGTCTTTGTCCATTTAGCAGCTTTATCTTAGCGTGGTTGAGTGACAGAGAATACATTTCTTTTTGTAGCAGTCCTGTAAGCAATTTCCTCCTTTGCCACTTATCAAAAATGACCCAAATCAGCAACCCATTTCTACTGACCTGTGTGATAGTGCAGCCATAGATAATTGCCTGCCACATGTAATAGAAATTGATTTTCTGCAGAAAAATCATGTATTATCATTTCCATCACCTCTTCTTGCATATCACCTGAAATGACTTTCCCTTTACCCTGTGTTTTCTGACTGACCTTCAAGTGGGTTGTCCAGCCTAGAGTGATTACTGATCACATGCTGAAACATCCAGTCACTCACAATCAGGAACGTATGGGGGTTCTTTCACAGGACACTGAAAAGCTTTGAGACATATGCTGGGTTGCCAAGGAGATGTTATTTGAAAAGAAAGAGGCAGTTTTACAGTAGTTTTTTGCCAGGGTTTTTTTCTTTCAGTAATTCTTTTTTCATTCTCTTTTCTTCAACAGCTAGAAGAAATCTCTTCAGAACAGCTTGACGCATATATTGCGCACCAGTGAAAGGGTAAGTAAGGGTTTTTGTTTGTTCCGAGATAAATGAAACAGAACGCACTCTCACAATGCACTTGTCTTGATCAATTCATGAGATTCAAGGACAACAAAAGATAAGGGTAATTTTCATTCCCTTTCTAATTTCCAAGCTGTCAAATGGTTTGCAGAGATAAGAAAAAAAAAAAAAAAATCAATTAACTCCAACAAAACAGCCATCCCTGCCCAGATAATTGGCTCAATTTCTACCTTACAGCGGTCATGTGCCATTTTTATGTATTCTTGTAACAGCATAACCCATGCCAAAGGGTGTTTCTGCAGCAGTGAAGTCAAAAAAACAATTAGCCTTTCAACACACACTACAGTCACTTCCCCCAAAAACGCTCACTGGTTCACTTAAAACATAAATGTCCCAAATAAGGATAGGGTGGGACAAAAAATTGCGGCTTTCCCTTCCACTCATCAGACCCCGTGCCTCATCTGTCAGACCGTCACGCTTGTTCGCTCAGTTCAATTCTCATTCCGTTTTTTATCGCAGCCTAGCAGAGCCGGTGCGGAGGAATTATCTGCTGTCAGGTCCTGCGCCGGGCTGATAGGGAAACTCAGCGCACCGAGGGCCACCACAAGGTGAGAGGGACGGCCGCAGGGGGAAGGGAACCAAAAGTCCGGGACCGATGATGCCGTCCTCCACTATGCAGATGTTCGCCTTCATTCTGGCGTTACTGGGGGTCCTGAGTGCCACGGTGGCCACACTGCTACCCAACTGGAAGGTGAGTGCGGATGTGGGCAACAATATCATGACTGCCATCTCGCAGATGCAGGGACTGTGGATGGACTGCACCTGGTACAGCACCGGAGTCTTCAGCTGCTCGCTTAAGTACTCGGTCCTGTCATTGCCGGCTTATCTTCAGACCGCACGCACCACTATGGTGCTCTCCTGCATGATGGCGACAATGGGACTCTGCTTGGCCGCCCTAGGGCTGAAATGTACTCGATGGGGTGGCAGTTATCGCTCTAAGGGACACACGGCTATTTCCGCAGGGGCTTGTTTCATCGTAGCAGGGGTCCTGTGTCTGGTGCCCGCATCCTGGTTCACCAATGAGGTCATCACTACGTTTATGGACTCCAAAGTGCCCAAGAGCAGCAAGTACGAGCCAGGGGCAGCGGTGTACGTGGCGTTCGTCTCGGCAGGATTCCTTTTAGCTGCAGGCGTAATCTTCTGCTTATCGTGTCCTGGAAGGAGAGGCGGTACATTGGATTCGGGCTCGTCCCACCCAGACAAGCCTAAACAGAAGAAGCTGCGCCAGGAGCAGCCGAGCCGTGACCAACAGAAACAGCAGCACTGCGAACAGCAGAGTCAGACTGAACTGCCGGAACGAGAGCAGTCGCATCGACACCAAGAAAAGCTACAAGCGGACGATCGTCAGCAAGAGAAGTCGGTGCCGGACAGATTGATCCTGGAGAAGGACAAGCAGTACCAGTCTCCATCTCGAACCCGAATTCAAGATCCCAAGGCCGTCTATAGTCTGCACGACTACGTGTAGACAACTGTCATCGACTTCAGGAGCACGAGTATTTAGGGCGTTCTTGATTGTCAGACTGCCTTTCTTTGTGAGCGGCGAAAAGAGGAGGGGAAAAGCAGTGGAGCAGCAGGAGGAATAATGACTTTGATGCCGTAATCAACCCTTCTCATCTGTGCTTTCGCTTACAGCAAGCGAAACACTGGAGGTATTTCCAAAGCCACCGGAACAGACAAACTATGGATTGTGAAACCTCGGGTACACGGTTTTAACTGCAACGACAAGTAAAAAAGGGGGGCCAAATAATGACGCATCATAAAAATGCAACATAAGAAAAGAGGAATTCATGAAGATACTAATGTAAGGACAATTCTGAAGGTGCATTTGCTTACTAAAGGTTGGAAAAAATACAGTTATTGTTGCCCTACCATTTCATGACCTTGTCAAAGTAAAACGCAAACTCTCGAGAGTCCTGCAAGCAATTTTATCAGCCTTCTGGAACCATGTGTGATAAGCAAGTTTTAATTCAGAAGCTTGTAGATGATTCATTAGGCAGTATGTGCATGCTGTTTGTAGATAATGCTGTTAATAATGCTGCAAACGGATAATCAAGCTTGCACCTGAGGATGCTTCACAACATCAGCTGTCCATTAAATGGTGCGTGTCCTTCAGAAAAGGGATTTTGACATGTCCAGTCCATATTTTTCAAAGAATGGAGGGGGGGAGGCACAGCAGCAGAGATCAGTTGAGGTAATGATGCTCTTTGCTTTTCCATTAGGTTCGCTACGGATGGGTGCACGCTGCTCATTTATTGCGAGCAGACACAGATCCACCAACACACACACATAAGCTCTCCTTCCCTCCCTCGTACTCTTGCTAGAAGGGTAATGGGGGCTTGCACCCAATCATCATGATGCTGTGCGCCAGTGTGTCGTGCCTGCAGGAAGTGCAGTTGGTCCTGTTCTAGGGCAAACAGGACGCAGTAACACGCTGTTCACACTTTTGTCGAAAAGTAGAACCAAGGTGACGGAAATCTCAGCGGTGGCTTCAGAATCCCCCGCTGGGCAACAATTACACCTTTGGTCTACGTCTCAATTCAGTCAAACAGTATTTTCTGATTGCTATGCTGTTTTCACTTACAGTCAAGCCATTGAATGTGTTTTCAAAGAGTCAGTGGAAGACAGCAATGTGCAATATAAATGTACAATATTTGACTGAAGCTAATGCTAAGTGTCATTGTATCTGTTGTTTCTGTCATAATAATGGTCAAGGGCTCCTATTGTCTCCAGAGAGACGCCACTGCTTTTCATTTCTATATCACATATAAGCATAGGCTACTGTTCTTTGTGTTTGATACGCATGCAATGTACATAATGCTTTAGAAACTGATGCAAAGGCTGAGGGTGACAATGAATTTGAGCAGAAAAACTAATGTCATTATGTGCAAGTCAGAGGTCGCGAAAACTTTGTCATAATCTATTATTACCTGTCATTTTAATTTTCACATTTTAATGATAATAAGCCATTTAATAGGCTCTGTCTGGTTCACATTTTAATTTTTATTCACGAACTTACAGGACAAGCATATAGGCAAGATTATGCATTTATTTATTTATGAAGAGAAAGTTGAACACTTTTCAGGTTCCATCATGAAAGTTTCTCTAATAAATCGCAATAATCATTGTGCTTTGTTACTTTTGATATGAAACAAAGTATCAGCTTTCAAATTCTGTCCATTTGATCACAAAAGTCAAAACAATACCGTTTTGGCGCTCTTTAATGTGGCGCGAGAGATACTGTTCAAGCGAAGCGGAGCGCGTGTGAACGTGATCAATTCCTTTCTCTTTACTACGTTACGGAAAGAAATAAACATGAACGAACATCAAACAAATATTTTGAAAGATAGTCCAACTTACCGAAATCCGTATTCTGTCTCTCATGTAATCGATCAATCAGTGTTTCAACCACAGGAAGACTTCAATAAAACAGCTTGTCACGTAACTCAGAAAAGTCATTCGTTGCCCATTAACTTGATAGTCAGCAAGAGAGCACTCGCCACCAAGTGTACAGTGGTGAGAATTACAGTTACAAGTTACAATCAGCCATATCTGTCAAAATGACGGACGGCTTTCAGATTTCTGCTAATAAAATAAAAAATAAAAAATAAAAAAATTCTGTCAATGGCGGAAATGTTTCGTTTAACGCGATCTCTGTGCCAATGGACCACGTCTTGCTTAGGCTTGATAGCGTCACTGGGGTCCAACAAATCTGAGAGAAAATGCTGCTATTTTGCATTATTGCTGCTATTTGCATCATAATATATTTTTCATTATAAATTATATTATCAGCATAACAATTTGAGTGAAATAATCTTTTTTTTTAAGTCTTATATCTGTATTATGGACCACACTGTAAACAGTACAGTAGGTTACGCCACTGCAGTCAAATGTGCCTGAAATCCAGTTACTGTCATGTGACACATGATGGGTTTTATATATATATAACTGTTGCATAAATACCTCATTCTTTGCTACATTTCCTCTCTTGCTTATAATTTTAATATGTGAATATTAAATATAAAGACAATATACATTTTTTTGCAGGTGTGTATAGAATGGGATTGTGATTTTTGTGATGTTTAATCTAACGCAACATTTACAATTTTTTTTGACACAGCGAATGTTGACCAGGCTATACAAAACTGTGTTGGATAAAGGTGAAAACCATTTGCCATAATATTATGTATAGGCACAACAAACTGCTTTATTTATTTGAATTCTCCATTTTGACTTGACAAAACAAGGGCTTCGTTTAGTCTAGTTATAAACTGATGTGTGGCCGGTAATCATGAGGAATCAAATCCAATTAAAGCACATGTACAGCAGAACTTGTACGTTTGTTTTTGTTATGTACCGACTCCAGAAAACACAGCAAGTGCAACACCGCCTTTTATTCTCTCACATCAAGGACTTTTTGTACAACTGGCTCTCCAATTTCACATCATTCCCTCTTTGTTGTGAGCTCGTGATCTGACTGCAAATGCCTCCTCATAATGGGTGTGTGTGTGTGTGTGTGTGTGTGTGTGTGTGTGTGTGTGTGTGTGTGTGTGTGTGTGTGTGTGTGTGTGTGTGTGTGTGTGTGTGTGTGTGTGTGTGTGTGTGTGGTACGAGGTGTCTTGGTTGGCTGCTTTGGCCAGGAGTCATGCCGGTCCAGATGAGAATCTGCATACTCTTCTGTGAGTGAATCCAAGCATCAAATAAGCTCCATTTACACAGCTGACTGCCCGTCACACAGTGTGGCCACTTCATGATGAATCCAGCCACACTTCACACACACACCCCCTCTCACTGATCACACTAAGGTTAAATCAGCTGTCATATTCATCTGCTACTTTACATGTGCTTTGTTTACACAGATGGAGACATTGTTTATTAGCGATCACGACACTGAAATTAATTCTACAATTCAAATGCTGAGAGTAAGAGATTCATCAAAAGAATAAAAGCTGCGCTTCATTGTGTTTATGAGCTCTTGGGATCAGAAACGGTGACATTCATTTTCCTACTGTATGTCTTTATTCTTCTTTCCATGAATAGAGTCAAATTTGGTGCTGCATACTTCAAAAAGTACAAAAATCAAATCTGAACCCTAAAAAGCGGCATATCATATATTGATATGTGGTTTTCTAGGGACTTAAGCATTAACATGATCAATACTCCCCAATAATATATATAATTTACAAAATGTCTGCCTTAACATCTTTTAGCTTCGCTAATTTTGAAATGAACATTTAGGAGATTTAGGCAACTTACATTATTTATGGTAAATTGTTTTGAAAATGTGTGTATCAAGTATGATAGAGCAGGTATTTTTTTATTTAAATCATCATTTTTGCGTTGTTTCATGGTGTATTATACTCACCACAATAAAAATGATAATCAAATATCTTAAATATTAAATTCAATGAATTATATAAGATATATTTAGTCTGAACTGATATTTAAATCCATTTTTAATATATGCATCTGGCTCTAAATAAATCTTGCTGTTGACCACATCATTGTTTTTGCTACTATAACCGTATTTAAATTTCAGTCATTCATTTATAAATATATATCAAATTTTTCTTTCTTTTTTTCCTATATGTCTGAATGTTCAATAACTTGGTTGCAAAAAAATTAAAAATAACAACAGCAACAACAAAATTATTTTTTTCAGACTGTTATTTCATATATCAGACTTAATCAATAACAAACCATAATTTGGTACCAAAACAAGCCCATCTGCGAAATGTAGGCTAATTTTGCGACACTGATATGTGCACTATATATATATATAATATTTATGTGTGTATGTATGTAAATGTATATGTATATATATACATATACATATATATACACACACGCACACACACACACACACACACACACAACACACACACACACACACACACACACACACACACACACACACACACACACACACACACACACACTTTCTATTCTAGTCTCAATCTCCCTATTTCAGATTTGTGGTGTTAGCAGCAATAAAGCAATAAATTAAAAAAAGGAAAAAACAAATAAACAAACACTCACTTGGTGGCAGAATACATGCAGGAATTGATTCTTTCCTGTTATAATTAAATTCCTGTTCAATTATAAATTTTATTTCTAATGGTTTATTTATTTATTGGTCATTTTATTTATATTCAATTGTAAAAAAGAAAAGAAAAAAAAGAAAAAAAATTCTACTGTTTATATACAGTCTGTTTACCAGTGTGCACTTTTAATGAAACTAAACACAATCTAGTGGCGCCATATGAACGTGTTTTAGAGATCGAGCTCTGCTGTGAACAGCTCTGTCGCTTCAGACGGGCTCGTATGAGAACGGCTCCTGCGAGGCTCAACACAAAGGCTTCTCCATCTGTCTCACATAATGAGCTAAATGATCTGACACATTTAAAAGGGGTCACTTTGCAGGTGTGCAATGCTGAAGTGGTGTATTTTTAGTGCTCAACTTGACATTATGACAAATGGCGTTTGACTTCCCTGCAGGCGATAACAGAACAGAATCAATTCCTGTGTGTATTCTGCCACCAAGTGACAGTGTTCCCCCCTTTATTCATCTATTGCTTTATTGCTATGGGCAAAAACTAACACCAACTGAAATAGGGAAAGAGTCTAGAACAGAAAGTGTATTTTTAACTACACTGGGCCTGTTTGAAACCACCTAAGTAACCGCTGTGACTTATTGTAGAGGACAAGGATGGGCAACGTCGGTTCTGTTTTTTTT